GCCCACTGTACTTGACTGGGCCTATCGTTAGAATACACTTATGATAAAGGTAGTGATTTTAAATAAAATTCTTAGTGATACAAAGGCAGTGGGATATGATAAAATTGCTTATGTAAACACAAAAGGAGAGATAAGGAATAATCTCTGGGTTATGGCTGATGAGAAAGGTCAAAGTAAGGAACAAAATGATAAAAAGGGGGAACTAATACATGGACATAAACATATTGCTTGCATGCCTTTTGTTTCAGCTGTCTTACTCTCGGCACTTGGCAACAATGATACAATATTCTAAGTAAGGAAGGACATCGATACATTCAACAGTAACATCTCAAACAGTGAAAGGTAATTTAAACTTCAATACAGATCATGTGAAGACTGTGGAAATGGCTAGTAAATACCATCTTAAAAATTTTAAACATTTTTAAAGTCACATTGCTTACAATAGTGAAGATGGATATTTATGTCTACATTTTTCAAAACTACATGACCTTTTTATGGGATGCAAATTTCCCACCTGTGGGTTAAGGAAAACAAGGGACCTAGCCTAGGACCTTTCAAATGCTGAAAACATTTATGAAGAGGTAAGGTGGGAAGGGGACTCAGCTATCAGAAGAGACATCAAGAAGAGCTCTCTCAAAAAGGGGAAAATGGGGCCAACCCAGGAGGAAACAGGAAGAAGAAAAGTGAAGCAAAAGAGGTATTAGGAGAGAAGGAGAATCACTTCAATAGCCCATCAGAGCAGGAGAAATGTAACACAGGGAGTGAGATTGGCTGGAAAAGCACTAAGTCCCTGAGTTCCTCTGAGCCACTATAGCCACCAGCCCTGCAGAGAGCAGTGCATCTGGAATATCCCTGAAACATTTTGCTGTACTCACTATAAGGCTGAGATAAGAACAGGGTTTGTCAGTTGCCATGTTGCTTGTTCACATGTTCAAGGAGCCAGGAGAGGTCCAGCAGACTCTCTTCGTCTATGCTCCCATCTGTCTGCATGCTCCCCTTAGTCTCCATCACTGGACTCCCTTCTGTCTCAGGAACTCCCTTCTGTCTTGCATGCTCTCCTCTTCAGAACTCTCTTCTTGGGTGCTCTTCTCTCCTTTGGACCGTCCAGCTGGCTATAATGCTCCCAGCCCTGACCCCTAGTTTTGGCACTCCTCCCCTTGCTCTCAAGCTCTCCCCCTAGCTCTTGGGCTCCCCTGCTATAGTTGGCATGTTTTGGCTCACTAGTTTTTTTACTCTACTTTATTTCTTGTATTAGGGAAAAGGGCTATGTAAGACAATGACATTGGTTTCCATTTTATGGGTCTTAATAAGAAAATGTCATCTTTTTATCTCCTTTTTGTAATGAATGTTAGAAAGGGTAGGACCAAATTTCAGATCCCATCAAATAGGGCTACAGAACTATTATTTTGAATACTACTTTCTTGTTAAGTTCTATTTCCCATTTCTAATGCAATTTTTAAAACCTTATTTTAATCACTTGCATTATTATTTTTTAAATGATCAAGAATATATTTTTCCCATTGCTTTGCAGAGAGAGTGAAAGGGAGGGAGGGAGAGAGAAAAACATCAACGTGAGAGAGACACATTGACTGGTTGCCTCATCTACTGTTCCCCAACCAGGGTCAGGGAGAGAAGCACAACCTAGGTAAGTGCCCTAGACCAGGAATCAAACCCACAATCCTTTGATGTGCAGACTTATGCTCTAATCAATGAGCTAACCAGCCAGGGTGCATTTTTACATGTTATCTTACTGTAAGTGATTTTTATATAAACATTATTAAATTATTTCTGGAACAATTGGGAAACAACTATATTAATGAATAAATCAAGTAGTATCATTAAGGGAAAAGAAAAGGTATAAATGGCAAAGAAACATTTTTGTAAGGTATAAAAATGTCAAATCACTCTATTGGACACCTGAAAGTAATATAACCAATAGAAGACTGTATGTCAACTATACATAAATAAAAAATTAATTAAAAATAACATTTTTAAACAATAGACGTTTTAAAAAGAGAGAGGAATTTAATTGTAGACGGTGTGAGGATTGTTATATTTGGATATTTAAATCAGAATAAAATGCAGAATGCGCAGAAAATTGGCTGGTTGAGTGATGAAGGTACAGGGACACAGAATCTCAATAACTAATGTGTGCCTGAGAAATTCACAAAACAGAATATTGAGCAGCTAAAAGTACAGGAAACTGACCATTTTCAGCAAGGAATATATAATACAGGGTTGCAGAAAGCTAAAATGACAGAACATATATTAAAATCATGGAGAATACTAACAATGGCTTTATGATCCAGTAGTGACATGTAAATATCCAAAAGGAAAAATGGAACATCAAAGCTTTTAGAATTTCAGCAAGGGCATAATAAAGAAACAAGATGATAGAATGGAAAAAGAAGGAAGTGTTTTATTTACAGGACTGAAATGCTGGTTGAAATATAAAACTGTATTAGGGAAATTACTGGTGTTTATTCATTATTTTTTATATTTGTGGAGAATGTAGACACATTTTAAAGTGGAAAAAGTAAAAATATTATGTGAATTATATTGCAAAGTAATATGTACATGTCATCTATAACAGAAAATCTGCAGAGTCACCTTTGGTTAAACTTGGGGATTGATGAATCATGGAAAGAGGGCCATGGTTGGAAAAGACAAAGAAATAAAAATATTCACTGGAAAAGAGTGAATACGATTCTTTTAAGAAAGAAAAGGTTATTTAACTGATAATGCCATAGGGAGAAAATCATAAGGCACCAAAAATATGAGCAACATGAGCAAAATCATTCATGCCTTTGTTAGGAGGAAAATTTATGAATGAAAACCTTATGATTGAACTACACTGAGACCAGAAAATAAGTATCTGAGATGTAACTAATGACTGGGAAGGCAAACATTTACACAAGAGAAGAATTAAGAAAATCAAGAATCTCAATTCTGTTTACATGGTATTTATTTCCTGAAAGATACATGTTACCTCAAGAAATGTTGCATTTGGAAAATCTGTTTCATTTTGCATTGTTTGCCAGAAAATCAATTAAGTTTTAAAAGTACATTGTCAGTCACTACTTGGAATTAAAGGCAGCAATGAAAAATTACATATTTTAAGTAGCAAAACTGTATTATATAAACTTGGACAACAAACATATAAACCACATGGCAAGATGACTAACAAGTATTGCTAAATATATATATATATATATATATATATATATATATATATATATATATATAGTTTTATTGCTTAAAGTATTACAAAGAGTAGTACATATGTCTCCTCCCCCCCCCTTGAGACCTTCCCCCTGCTTTTAATCCTCAACCAATGATATTTTATCATTTATTTTTAGGGAGATTGGAAGAGGGGGAAAGGCAGAGAGAAACATCGATGTGAGAAAGACACATTGATTGGTTGCCTACTGCATGTGCCCCAACGAGGACCGGGGCTGGGGAGGAGCCTACAACCAAAGTTGACCAGAATTGAACCCAGTACCTTTAGGTCCGCAGGCCGACAAACCAGCCAGGGCTGCCCTAGATTTTTTAAATGGCAGTTGATGATATAATTTTCATCCCAAATGATACCACCCACTTTGCTTAGAATATTTTTGAGTCCAGGAGATGTCATAGAAGATGTAATTATCTCAGACAAAGAACACTCAGTGAACCAAAAAATGGTCCTACCTAAGGAAACTAAGTAAAATTTCCACATTAGAGTGCCTGTCATTTAATTCAGGTGAGCAGTTGCCTTCCCCGGCTGTACATACAGCAAGCTTCTAGAACTGATGTCAAGGTACAGGTCCTTCCATCCCTCTCAGGTGCCCTTCCATCCACACCAGCTCTGTTTACATTCATTACACCCTGGACAAAAGTTAGCTCTCACTTAGAGTTTGCCAAGCTCCCTCAAGATAAGCCAAGTGAAATACCCTTTTAAGGGAGCAGGTTCTGGCTTTTCCAACTGAGGGTAAAGTGTCTCAGCACAGTGACTTCTTGGCATCTCACCTCAAGGGAGTGTCATCTCTATTTCTCAGCAACTGCCTGGAGATGATGAGCATAGAACACCTAGTTTTCACATTGTGTACACCTGCCCTGTGACAAGAACAAAGGCTACATTCCTATCCTGACTAAGGGGGAGATTTCTCTCTGGTTTACCCACAGTGCCAAAGTAACCTGTAGCAGCAGTTGTCATATATAGACTGAATGCGGGCGTCCCCCTTCTGCAACTCCCCAATTAACATGCTGCAGCCCTAACCCCCAGTGTGATGATGTTTGGAGTTGGAGATTTGGGGAGGTACTTAGATTTAGTTGATGTCATGAGGATGGGGTGGCCAGGATGCCATTAGTGTTCAAAGAAGCACAAGAGAGAAAAAAACCATCTCTCTACCTGGCCAGGGCACTGGGAGGAGACCATCTGCAAGCAAATAAGAGAGCTCTCACTGGAAACCGAATCCACTGGCACGTTGATTGCGGATTTCCCAGGCTCCAGAACTGTGAAAATAAAACTTATATCCCACTAAGGACTTACAGTTGCCTAAATTTCCAAACTGCCTTGCTCAGGAACTTTCTGCCTAACTGCTCTCATAAAGAACACCCTCTTCCTCACCCATTCTTTTTACTTTACCTCTAGGTCCACGGGGTGCTTCAACACCTTCCTCATATGAGTGCAACTTGCAGGTGATAAAATTACATGAGAAGAGGCTGCATTTCCTTTAGCATCCCCAGTCTTAACACTGAGACTCTCCAACAGCAGACTCAGTGTGTGGTGGATAAAAGAGCCAGCAAATACAAGATATAATTTATAAAGATTTAATTTCTCCTACTTAGTGAATAAACTAAAAACATAAAAGTATAACTCAGTTAATTTTACAAATATGGAAATTAAAAGGAACAAGGAAAACTAAGAATAAGCATGCTTTTTGTTTTCTATTCCATTATCCCAATAACTAGACTCAGGATCCTTTTACACTTTCAAGAATATTATTCCTATTGAGATGTTATATATTCTGGTCTGTAGATTTCTCTACAGGTAGAAAGGTTGTGCTGGCCATGGCCCTGGAAAGTGCAGTGACTTGGGCAGTAGTGGCAGCCCTGGCTGCATCTCTGGCTTGGGCTCTCTCTTTCTCATCTTGCAAAGCCTCCTGATAACAGTTTGGGAAGGCACTGGGGTGGGTACCATTGACCTTTGCCCAAAACTCCAGCACTTTCAACTTGCTGGTTTCAAGGTGTGCTTTTGGACCCCACAGGAACTCAAAACATGGAGGATCACTGTGGGGCACCTGGCGGCACTCCAGGTACTTCAGCCTCACAAAATCAGTGATGAGCTTCCTGGGCTCCCCAAAGATGAAGTGCTTCTTCCGAGGGTACACATGCATTACACGCAGATCTTTCCAGATCTCTTCCTCAGAGACAGAGTTGCCATTCATGAAGATCATACCCAGGATATGCATCAGGAGACCAGTCTTGGGGAACCCCCTGCCAGGACGCACCCTCCCATTATTGGGGAGTTTTAATTTGCTGACAAGGACGTAGGAGTGTCTGGTTGAGTCCGCTTCATTCATGTCTAATGCAAAGAAGGTTTCAAGTTGCTCAGAAACTTTCTTGAGAATCTCAGCAAATCGGTCTTGGTAATCTTCCCCGACAATATGCATCATATCAGCCTTCAAAATGGGCTTTTTCAATTTAAACCTGTTCAGAATGAACTGCTCCAAAGACACAGTCCTGGTTTGGAACTCATCCATGTCTGAGACCTCAGTGAAGAGTGGGATCTCAGAGGAGACAGCCTCATCCTCCTCTTGGCTGCTGAAAGCTTCATCAGACCCAGGGCAAGAAACAGCTACAGAAGTAGTGGTGGTGGTTTGCGCTCTTTGAGGGCCATGGGAAGTGTTACATGACCCAGACATAGGCAGACCCTGGCTAATACCTTCATGCTGAGTAGAGAAAGAGGGAGTGGACTCCTCTTCTGCTTCTGCAGTGGCCTGAGCATTGCCATGACTCTGAGGCTCACTTCGGGCATGATGGCGTTTCTTGTTTTTGTGACGCCGAGGCATGATGTCACTATGGTCAGCGATAGCAGGCAGGAGTCTGGACTAGGATGAAGGAGAATGAGATGATGTTAGTGTCTTCAGCGGCAAGATGGATAGTAGCTTGGCTTTAACACCTGGCTCTGCTGGGGTGTTACTCACTCTAAGGCTGCCTCTGCAAGTTTCCTTGAAGGCAGTGCTCTAAGCAACCCACAGGGCTTCCGTTCTGGTCAATCTGTTCCTTGAGTAAGGTGGTGAGGCAGTTGCAGGTAATCTTAGAGTACATCCTGGTTATCCTGCCTAGGGGGCACACGGGTGACAGCAGAGGGGTTGCCAGTGGGAAACCTGTGCCTGTAGGGTGTCACATACTTCTGAGTCCACTATCAAAATTATGGGAAATATTGGCAGGTCCTGGCCTCCCTCTATTCTGCTGCTGTGAAATTGACACCTCAAACCAAAGCTAGCAGCTCTCTGAAACACAAAGGAAACAGTGAAAAGTTCCTTAGATCCTATGCCTGTCGGGGGACACCCAAGTGACAGTTATGTGGAACCCTGCAGGGTATTTACCTGGTCTCCAGGTAGTGCCTGGTATACATACCTCCCTTCTGATGACTGGTGGCTGCACCCTCACACTAAAGACTTTTTTTCTCTTATATTGTATGGAAATAAGTGAGAGTGGGTCTCAGCTTAGCAGGCCTACCCTCAGCCTTCAGGTGCTGAATGTAAAGATGGGGCTCAGGATTCTATCTTATTCAATGGTGGGTGGGCCCTTCAATCTTTCACTTGAGGTTTGGTGCAGTGTCCTGGGACTCTCTCCTGCCAGCATTTCAGGACACTGCCCTTCCATGAGGATGAGCGTCACCCCACCTGCCCAGTTCTCCAAGGCTGACAATCGGGGTTCTCCTACTGCGGTCCTGGGTGTTCCCTCAGATATCATGGCCCAGGGAACTGGCCCCTGAACCCCCGGGAAGACCTGGATATCCTCCTCCTGGCTAGGGTAAGCCCCGCTCATAAATGAAAGCTGCCAACCCCTGGGCGGGCGGCCCCATTCCCGCACCCCGAGCCCAGCGGGCAGGACTCCCAAGGAGCAAAGGAGAGTCAGCCATCATTTCCGGAATTCGTTGACATCCTAGTCCAGCAGAGGGGCGGGGCCTCCCGGGGCGCACAGAGGCCTGGCCCTGCCCCGCTGGAGGCTTCCTAATGGGGGCCCTTCCCTCAGGCCAAGGCCTAGCCCTGTGACCTGCTCCCCAGGCGGCCTCGCTGAGGTGTGGGCCGGCCCTGGGGCCCTCCGACTTCTGAGCCTGGTCTCCAACGGGGCGCGGTGCCCTCCCTCAGAACAAGCCCTCCCCTCCCCGCCCCCGTCCTGCTCCCAGAGGCGGCCTGACAGCCTCGCTCTCTGGGCCTCCTCCCAGGGTGAGGGCAGTAGCAAGGCCCTGGCCGCCTCGCTGAGGGGTGGGCCGGCCCCAGGGCCCCTCCGACTTCCCACCCTGACTTCCTTCAGGACTCGGGTACCCTTCCCTCAGGCCAAGGCCCTTAGTGTCCTGACCCGCCGAGTGGGACAGGAAGGCTCACCCCACCTGCCTGCCATGCTGGGCTCCTCAGGGAGCCTTGAGCAGGCCCTGGGCGGGCTTCCTCCCAAGTCCCCTCACCTGGCTCTGCTGGGGTGTTACTCACTCTCGCTGCTGAACAGGCCGCCCCCGCAACCCGGGGCCCACACCCTCCGGAGACCCTTGGCGGGAATCTCCCTCCGCCCTGCGTGGTGCCCAGGGTCTCCCAGGCCTGAGAGCAGGGGCGGGGCAGGGCGGGGGGAGGGGCGGGGCCCGCTGAGGGGGCTCTCACTCCTCATTCCCCTCCTCACCTTGACTGGGGCCACAGCCTGGGCCTTCTCACTCTACTCCTCCTGAGGGGAAGACTCCCTTCCAAGGCTCCCTGGAGGGAGCTGGCCGCTGCCCCGCAGTTAAAGGGACAGGGCCTCTCCAGGCTGACTGCCGGCGGGACCTCGGGCGCCCCCTGTGTCCTGGGGTGGTCGCACCACCCTCTCACAAGGATTGTCACCTGCACTCCTCTCAGGACTGGAACACTGCCCTGGCCCAGCCCTGAGGCAAGGCCCTCTCCTCCCAGGGTGTCCCCCCTGGTCAGCCCACAGGGAGACCTAAGAGCTGATGAGGGAAAGGTCTGCAGGACTCGCTCTGTGACTGGGTCCTTCATCCGAGTCCTCATCGGGGCTCCGGTCTCTTGAAGGAAAGGCTTCCTGGGGAATGCCACATCCCTGAAAACTCTTTTTTTCCCTTTCATTAAAACGTTTTTTATTATATAGATAAATTAAATATATAAATTACAAGACAGGAGTATGAATTAAATTTCAAAGGATATTTTCTCTCAATTTATGCATTAATCATTGAGGCAAACAAGCTATTTTTTGGAATAGAATATACTGGGCTTTTGTGTGCTTATTTAATTTTATTGGGGTGACATTTCGACAGAGGACTGGATAAGGAAGAGTGGTAGATATACACAACAGAATACTACTCAGCCATTAAAAAGATGAGACACAGTGGAATACTATGCTGCTATAAAAAAAAGAAGGAACTCTTACCATTTGGGACAGCATGGATGGACCTTAAAAACATTATGTTAAGCGAAATAACCAGTCGGAGAAAGATAAATGTCACATGATCTCACTCATATGTGGGATATAATGATGAACATAATTTGATGAACAAGAATAGATCCAGAGACAAATGGCAGGGGACGGGTGGTTAGAGAGCAACCAAAGGACTTGTGTGCCTGCATATTAGCATAACCAGTGGATACAGACACTGGGGCGGTGGGGGCATGTCCAGGGTGGGAATGGCTGGGGGGATGGGGTCAATTGGGGAAAAAGGAGACACATGTAAAACTTCAAACTTTAGACAATAAAATAAATAAATAAATAAAAGATTTTAAAAAGGATGAAATAGCATCATCTGCAACAACATGGATGGACCTTGAAAACATTATGCTAAGTAATTAAGTCAGACAGAAAAAGCTAGGAACCATATGATTTAACTCATATGTGGGATTTAAAACTTAAACTTATGAATGCAAATAGCAGTGTTGTGGTTGCCAGATGGAAGGGAGCCATAATATGAGATGACAGGAGATTTAACTGTGGGTGGTGAGCACATGGTGCTGTATACAGATCTTGTAACATAGAAACCCACACATGAAACCAAATGTTCATGTTGATCAATGTCACCCCAATAAAATTTAATTTAAAAAATGCAAACTCTTGACTAACCTCCTTACTGCAAGGTCTCACAGAAAACAGGTCTGTGTCCCAGGTGTGATGTGAGATGGGGAGACTGAGGTACAGGCAGAGGACCCAGGGTAGATGGCAGGTTCCAGACAAAAACAAAGACACACAACCCAGGATCTTCTATTGCTTCTCTCTAGGACCCAGACTTGGCTGTTTTTGAACTCCTGTTCCTAAAGCTTTCCTTACTGTAAGAGATAGGCTGAGCCAGGTAATTTTGTAACATCCCATCTTACATTATCATATTATCACTGGATATTATGTCCTGCCTTTCATGATTCACATTTCTCAATGGTCTGTTATGCTTAGTGCTCTGGCTATGCATTCCAGTCCACCATATGGAGCACAAAACTTTTTATTTACTTTCCTGAGATATAGTTTGAAGCAGTGAGAAGAAAAATAAATGCAGATATACAAGGTCTGCATCAGAGTGGGAGAGTTTGGACATTGTGTGCCGGCTGTGAGTTTGACATGCTTGCTCTAGATGAATTCAGACCAGGGGTCTAGTCTAGTTATGTCACTTACATTCTTGTGACTATCAGAATATGGCAAGTTCACCATCGCCAACTGAGTGTGATAAACCCTATAATTTGAGACTGTGGAAATGTAGGTTTTGTATGTGAAGTATCTGTCAAGATGACTGGCAAACACTGGCTTTTTAATGAAAGCCAGTTGATGTTTACCTACACAGTATCATTAGGCTTTAAGAAAAATCCAGTATATGTCAGAGAAAATATGATACTCTCAGACAGAACAACACCAAATCAGCTAAAATTTCGATTTGCAATTTAAAATTTAATAGTTTTTCTCCATTAGAGCATTTCTTATTTAATATTGGTTTGCTGCCCCCCCCCCCCCCCGGCCCATAACCCTGATGCAACTTATAGTTTCAAGAATTTCATCAAGGACTACCTCATTAAATCCTTTCCAGCTGTCCTTCAATCCAAACCACCTACATTTTATGTTCTTTATTTCCTTCCAAAACCTAGCCCTCCCTTAGAACTCGCCTAAGTCCACTAAAGGTATTCTAGTTAAAATGCTCTTTAAAAAAATTATATATATATCAAAGAGGAAGGGAGAGGGAGAGAGAGATAGAAACATCAGTGATGAGAGAGAATCATTGATTGGTTGCCTCCTGCACACCCACTACTGGGGATAGAGCCTGCAACCCAGGCATGTACCCTTGTACCCTTGAACAGAATCAAACCTGGGACCCTTCAGTCCACAGGCTGATGCTTTCTCTACTGAGCCCAACCAGCTATGGCAAAATGCTCTTTTAATACAGTGGGATCTGACTCTACAACTACGAGGCAAAAAGTGTCAACATGATGGCTTCTGTTCACCTTCACCATTATTTGTCAGAAATTCCCTGGAGAGCATGTACATAGAACACCTATTTGTGTACTCTATTTTCCTTCATTAAGATAATACCAAAGACACATTTGATTCCTGCCTGTAGGGGGCTGCATTGGGTCCCCCCAATTCATGTTGAGTTCATAACCCACAGTACCAAAGAATGTGGCTCTAGTTGGAGATAATGTATTTAAAGTGATGGATAAGTTAAAATGAGGCCATTAAAATAGGCCATGATGCAAATTTAGTGGGGTCCTAATAAGAGTTTAGGTCACCCAAGGAGACAGCAGGCATGCACTCACACAAGGGACAGCCAGGAGAAGAGGGTAGCCATCTGCAACTAAGGAGAGAGGGCTCAGAGCAAACCAAACCTGCCAGCTCCTTACATTAGAATTCCAGCCTCCAGAACTGTGAGAAA